TATTTTTAGTAGAGACGGGGTTTCACCGTGTTAGCCAGGATGGTCTCGATCTCCTGACCTCGTGATCCGCCCGCCTCGGCCTCCCAAAGTGCTGGGATTACAGGCTTGAGCCACCGCGCCCGGCCTCATCCTCCTAATTTTATATTGGCACAAAGACGTTTCAAATAATGCACATCTCTTGTAATTTCTAGACCACAAAATATGATTTTTTTTCAACTATCACCTTCACCCTTTCCTTTATTATTTGAATTCTTCATAATAATGTTGTATCAGTTCCCTGTAACAACAGAGTTCAGGTTCTAAATGACTGGAAGAAAACATGCCAAGACAGGCCATGGTGAAATACAGATTATTTTTTTCTTCACATTATTCTGTATTTTTAAAATTGCTACCCCCACCATCCCCAGAGGAAACTGACCCAACCTTTAGGCTGGAAACAGGGAAAAAATAATTGTGGTTTTCATAAGGGAAAGATATCTAAATAGCTTTGGCACAAAACTTCCTGGGCATCTGTACTCCAGAAGAGAATGGCTGATAGGGTACAAGAGCTGTGCCTTGCACCTAGTGTTAAACATGGCCCCAGAGCAGTGGCGGAACTCTGTCAAAGGACCACAATGGTCCATGCTGGGACCTGGAAATAGGGAAACATTGCTGCAGCCTAGACCAGCAGTACTCAAGGAGGTAGGAGGGTCATCATGTGACAGCAGCTTCTACTGGACGGGAAGTGACTCGGCAACAATAGCACTCCTGGACTCTCCAATGTTGCTCCCATGGCTTTAGGATTTAATTTAAAGAAATAAAAGAGGGCCAGATGCGGTGACTCATGCCTGCGATCCTAGCACTTTGGGAGGCTGAGGTGGGCAGATTGCCTGAGCTGGGGAGTTCGAGACCATCCTGGGCAACATGGTGAAATCCTGTCTTTACTAAAAATATAAAAAATTAGCTGGGAGTGGTGGTGCACACCTGTAGTCCCAGCTACCCTGAGAGGCTGAGGCACGAGAATCACTTGAACCTCAGGAGGCAGAGGTTGTAGTGAGCTGAGATTGCGCCACTGCACCCTGGCCTGGGCTGGAGAGAGAGGGAGCCTCTGTCTCCAAAAAATAGAATTAAAATAATAATAATAATAATAATAATAATAGAATATGGCTGGGCTCAGTGGCTCACGCCTGTAATCCTAACACTTTGGGAGGCCAAGGTGGGTGGATCACCTGAGGTCAAGAGTTTGAGACCAGCTTGGCCAACATGGTAAAACTCCATCTCTAGTAAAAAAAAAAAAAAAAAAAGGCTGGCCTTGGTGGCATGGGCCTGTAATCCCAACTACTTGGAAGGCTGAGGCAGGAGAATTGCTTGAACCCAAAAGGCAGAGGTTGCAGTGAGCTGAGATCACGCCACTGCGCTCCAGCCTTGGTGACAGAGTGAGACTCCACCTCAAAATAAATAAAATAAATAAATAAATAAATAAATAAATAAAACAATCTATAGCAGTTGCTATCTACAGTTGAGGAATAGTTTACAACTGTTCCATATACACACTTACAGGTTGCAAGTCCCCTGTAATGTCCATTATTTTATTGAATGCTTTTAAAACAGTCCTATGAGGGAAGGCAAGGATTAGAATCAGTATTTTATGGGTGAGAAAACTGAGGTTCAACAGAGTTCAGTGACTTGTTCAAGATGACACAGCTAGGCCAGGTGTGGTGGCTCATGCCTGTAACCTCAGCACTTTGGGAGGTCGAGGCTGGTGGAACACTTGAGGTTAGGAGTTCAAGACCATTCAAGAGTAGCCTTGACAACACGATGAAACCCCATCTCTACTAAAAATATAAAAAATTAGCTGAGTGTGGTGGCACAGGCCTGTAGTCCCAGCTACTTGAGAGGCTGAGGCATGAGAATCGCTTGAACCCGGGGGCAGAGGTTGCAGTGAGCAGAGATGGTGCCACTGCCCTCCAGCCTGTGCCACAGAGTGAGAGTGCATCTCAAAAAGAGATCACACAGCTAGTTTGAGACTCAAAGTCAGCTTTGTCTAGGCTAGATGGTGCCTAGCACAGGAATCTAAGGGAAGCATGGCTACATTTAGAGTTTTTGGAGAGAACATGTAGCCAGAGGGACAGTAGGTGAGTGTGAATTAGGCACCCAAAGTGAGCTTGGGTCCTGAGCTGAGACCCGGGAGAATCAGTGAACCCTCTTAGTGTGGGTCTTTTCTTCATTCTTATCAGCAGCTCCTCTGCTCAGATCTGCCTCTTTCATCAACTAATACTCACAGCTCTCTCATTTCCAGACACTTTCCTTTAATTGTGTGTGGGATCATATATAGTATCAGGGAAAACTATCCATCGCAAGCCTGATTATAGACACTGGGAAATTAGCAAAGAGAGAAGAGGTTCTGTTTTGTTTTGTTTACCATTTGTTTAACATATGTATCTGCTTACCCGTGGTGTCAGTGCCTGTAACAATTATACATGTAACCCAGATGTTCCCCAGGGTCTCTCACCATAGGTAAGCTCAGTAACATGGACTCAGATTCCATTTCCATGGCCTATATGTCCACAGAGCCGTTCCCAAGAGTCTGGAGACCCTAGGGGACTCACATGCTTGGTAACATTGCCTCTGGGGTCCTGATTCTGGCATGAATCTCTATGACCCAGTTGTGAAACTCAGCCACACACACTCAGACAAATAACCAAAAGCATTCATGGGTATAATTGGATTTTTTCTCAGTTGGTAAAAATCTTAAATACAGAAGAAACAGAGAGCTGTCTAACAAATACCCACGCCCTCCAACTCTTTGAATTTAATGTTATTATTTTACAAGATTGGCTTTTGATTTTTTTAATCTAATAGGATTAAAAGTGACCTATCTTACATACGTCTTCCTTCCCAGAGGAATCCACCGTAGGGAATTTGGTGTCTGTCTTTCCAAATCTTGTTTTTATACTTTTACACATAAAATGTATCCATAAATGTTTGCCTTATGTGCTTTTATAATGCTATTATATTCCATTTTCTGCAAGTTGCTTTTTTATGCAATAATGTGTGGGTTTTGTTTGTTTGTTTGTTTTTGAGACAAGAGTCTCACTTTATTGCCTCAACCTCCCAAGTAGCTGGGATTACAGGCATGTGCCACCATGACCCCGCTAATTTTTTGTATTTTTAGTAGAAACGAGGTTTCACCATGTTGCCCGGGTTGGTCTTGAGCTCCTGAGCTCAGGCAATCTGCTCTCCTCAGCCTCCCAAAGTGCTGGGATTACAGGTGTGAGCCACCGTGCCTGGCCTGGTTCCTGTTTTTGTAAGGAGATTGAAATGAGATGCAAATAAACAGAGAAGAGATTATATCTAAGAAATACAAACAAGTCTCTCTGCCGCCCTCACTACATGGACATAGACCCACCAAGCAATTCCACCTGCTGCTTCAACTCGTATTATTCCCAGTCGTTTACCTTCTGGCTGGCAACCTTCTCCTCCTTACCTACTTTTAATGCTCCTACCTCCATTCTGTTCTCTCTACCTTCTTCGCAGGGGCAAAAAATAAATTCCTCCCATTTTCTCATGGAAAGCTCTTAATCACATCTTCTGTTACTAGGGGCCTGGTGCTCCTGCCTCCAGTTTGTGGTTCCTCAAACACAGTTCCTTCCTGTGTCAGTTAAGGATTGCAACGTAGCAAGCCCACCCCAAAACTTAACTGTCTTAAAACAATACTACTTATTAGCTCATGAATCTCTGGGTCAGCAGTTTCGGCTGGGCTCAGCTAGGTATTATTTCTGGTCTTGGCTAGGTTCATTCAGGCACTGTGGTTAGCCAGGTGACTCTGCTTCAGGGATTGGTTGACTGTCAGTTGGGACAACAGCAGTGACTTGACCACTCGTCTCTCCTGCTCCTGCAGGCTAGCCAGGGCCTGTTCTCACAGTAGCAGCAGGACTCCAAGAGCGACAGAAGCAGCATGCAAGGCTTCTGGAGGTTCAGGCTCAGAACTGGCACGATGTCACCTCTGCCTCATTCTATTGACCAGAGCAAGTCACAGGCCAGCTTAGATTCAAGATGTCAAAAAATAAACTCCATCTCTTGATTGGAGAAGCTGCAAAGTCACATTCCAAGGGGCCTGGAAACAAGGAGGATGGGAGGACTGTGGGTTGGATTCTCTGGGAAGCAGACTCTGAGATGGAGATTAACATGCAGGAAGTTACTCAGGGAGCACTCTTGGGATCAACAGCAGAAGAAGAGCAGAGAAGGAAGCAGGATGGAGCAGAGGGAGAAATTGAAGTGCAATGTCAGAACAAAGACTTCCACTGACCTCATGGAGACCTCTGAAACTGGAATAGGTCTTCCAAGTTGTCCTGAGTAGAGGTAAGGGGACCAGGCCTCTAAGCTCCCAAGCTGATCAATCATTTATGCAGACTGCCCTGAAAAGGCAGCAGCCAAGGAAATTCCCAAAGAGGGCTTACAGCCAAGAATCATCTGCCAACACTTCTCCCAGTAGCTGGTGGAATAAATCCTTCATTCCTCAGTGGGGGAGGAGGGGTGCCTGTGCCAAACATCACAGTCCACTCGACTGCCACCTCTCCCTAAGAATGCTAATGCTTATGATAAAACGCTTGTCACTTGCTATATATGTATACATTAAATATTTATAATCACTTACTAAATGCATCGCCTAACTTGTACAGATTTTAGAAGATCACAATGCTAAATGTCACTCCTTTGAACTTAGTCGTCATAGTTTCATTGCTCATTTATCTAGGTCATCCACTCGAAACTTTAAGGGATGAGGAGAAACAGCTTCTCCATCAGAAACCTAGGGAAGAGCCGCTGGCTGGCTCCCACCCAGGGGGAGGGTCATCGTGCGCCTGTGCCTGAGTGGGAGGAGCCTTCGCGCCTAGGCCTTTCCCTCAATTTTTCTTCTTCCCCTCACCCACCCCTCCCCCACCCCACTCCCGCACTGGGGCTTCCTGGTCGGCGCTTTTGCAGGGAACTCAGCGCTGAGACTGTCTAAAGCCCCAGGAAAAATGGTGGAAAATTCACTGCTGCCAGGAAGAGCGATTTATGACTTTGTGATTCTCTTAAGCTCCCAATTTGGCTTCATACTTTACCTTGTGTGGGCTTTTATTCCTGAATCTTGGCTAAACTCCTTAGGTTTAACCTATTGGCCTCAAAAACATTGGACAGTTGCATTATCTCTCTACCTCCTTATTACTGTAGTAATTGGCTATGTGCTCTTGTTTGGGATTAACATGATGAGTACCCCTTCACTCAACTCCATTCATACAATCACAGACAACTATGCTAAAAATCAACAGCAGAAGAAATACCAAGAGGTGGCCATTCCAGCATTAAGAGTTATTTCTACTAGTGAAGTAAACCAAATGTTATTTCTTGCAGCCAAAGACCTTTACACCAAAAACTGAAATGTATGTGGCCATGCTAATGAGAGGTGAAGCTGGCTGGGCTTCTGGGTCCGGGGGGGACTTGGAGAATTTTCTGTCTAGCTAAAGGATTGTAAACACACCAATCAGCACTCTGTGTCTAGCTAAAGATTTGAAAATGCACCAATCAGCACTCTGTAAAAACAGACCAATCAGCACTCTGTAAAATGGACCAATCAGCAGGATGTGGACGGGGCCAAATAAGGGAGTAAAAGCTGGCCACCGAAGGCAGAAGTGGCAACCCGCTGGGGTCCCATTCCCACACTGTGGAAGCTTAGTTCTTTCGCCCTTCACAATAAATCTTGCTGCTGCTCACTGTTTGGGTCTGCACTGCCTTTATGAGCTGTAACACTCACCATGAGGCTGTGCTCTGCGGCTTCATTCCTGAAGTCAGCCAGACCAGGAACCCACGGGAAGAAAGAAACAACTCCAGATGCGCCACCTTTATGAGCTGTGACACTTACTGTGAAGGTCTGCGGCTTCACTCCTAAAGTCAGTGAGACTGGGAACCCACCAGAAGGAAGAAACTCTGGACACATCTGAACATCTGAAGGAACAAACTCTGGACACACCGTCTTTAAGATCTTAAGAGCTGTAACATTCACCGTGAAGGTCCTCGGCTTCATTCTTGAAGTCAGTGAGACCAAGCACCCACTAGAAGAAATAAATTCCAGACACACTGACACCAAGCATTTATTTATTTATAAGTTTTTGCCATCATAATTTTGACCATAAATTAATTCAACCGTTTCTTATTAATAGAGATGTAAAAAATGTAAGTTGATCTTCTCTTAGATTATGTTCAATGAATATTGTAAGTGCTCTCATGTATTGTTAATGAACAGAATAAATAAAATATTGCATTACCATAAAAAAAAAAAAGTCTAAGCAAGAACCATTTCAAGCCATGCTGGCAACAGAGTCACCAAACTGCAGTTAAGTTATAGACACAATGTTCTTTGTAGTTCTTTGGAGAGAGAAAGACTGAGATCTGGGTCATGGAGAGATGATCACTCAACAGGGAATGCGGAAAGCTAGGATAAAATTTGGCTGGCAAATCAGGTCGTGAGAGAAAAAAGAGACCAAGTGAGGCATTGAAAGATAAAGAAACAGACTGGGCGTGGTGGCTCATGCCTGTAATCCCAGCATTTTCAGAGGCTGAGGCGGGCAGATCGCCTGAAGTCAGGAGTTCGAGACCAGGCTGGCCAGCAGGGTGAAACCCTGTCTCTACTAAAAATACAAAAAAATTAGTCAGGTGTGGTGGCAGGTGCCTGTAATCCCAGCTACTCAGGAGGCTGAGGCAGGAGAATCTCTTGAACCCGGGAGGGGGAGATTGCAATGAGCCGAGATCACACCATTGCACTCCAGCCTGGGCGACGAGTGAGACTCCGTCTCCAAGAAAGAAAGAACCCCACGAGGGCAGCTCTTGAAACATGGGAAGACATTTTATGCCTTATAGAGGCAAGTTGTTTTGGCAAAATTCCAGGAGAGCTGTCAAATCAGAATTTGGGGACCTGGGTGGAGAATTGATTTCACCTGCAACAAAGGAGACTCCCTATGACCACATAGAAAAGCCTCTGCTTTTTAGAAACCAAAGGCTGTGACCTTCAAATGCAGGCTTATAGATAGGAACAAACTAACAGGTCAGACCAAAAAGGAGGAGATGACAGAGGTGGCCAGTTGGAAAGTTCTGGGAGAACCACAAAATGCCAGAGTCTTTCAATTAAAGTGGAAAAACCAGTTTACAGTGACTCAATGGAAAGACAAGGATCATGCCATGTGTTGTTAGCTATTCTGTTTAGTCCTCTAGATCTACCCTTCACCTTCTCCACCAGTGGTGCTGTGCCCCAGATATTCACTTTAACGGAATATATCAAAAGGATTCTTTACTCCCTGACTTTCTATTGGGTTTTCCCAATGGGAGACACATGGAGGATACTAGAGGATGGAAGAAGAGAGAAATGAGGGTATTTATTTACCCAGATCCCCCTCCACTGGGGCCAAGGACTGGAACCATCATGGAAGATCCTTTTCGCAACTCCAGCTCTTTCCACATTCATGGAAGCACTCCTTCTCCCTGCCCCATAATGTACCCTCCTCAACAGTTGCAGTCTATGGGGTGCTTCCCCCATTCCTGTTGGCTTCCCTTAACCATTCTTACAACTTTATAAATACTTTCCTGGCCAGGCAGGGTGGCTCACACCTGTAATCCCAGAACTTTGGGAGGCTGAAGCAGGAGGATCGCTTGAGTCTGGGAGGTCAAGGCTGCAGTGAGCTGTGATCACACCACTGCACTCCAGCCTGGGAAACAGAGTGAGACCTTGTCTCAAAAAATAAAATAAATAAACAAATACTTTCCTTGATCACTCCACTTGAGTGTTCTCTCTTTTTTGATGCAATTCTAAATGCTAATCACTGGAGCTAGCTTATTGAAAAGGAGACACCGTGGATTTTTATGGATAATTGTCCCTTTTGGCTGTCCAGCCTCAGAAATGCATACTCACGTCTGGAGAATTTCCCATCATATAAGTCTTGGTGGGAAGTAGAGCTCACTTCCCCACATAGAATGTGGAAGTGCTAACTATTTGCTTTTCAGCCTCCCTTGCAGCTAAGGCTTGGGCATGTGACCTAGGCTCAGCCAGTCAGAGGCATAAACTAAACTTTGAATGAGAAGTTGGTGATGTAAAGACATAAGGACAGTGTCGGGCATGGTGGCTCGTGCCTGTAATCCTGGCACTTTGGGAGGCTGAGGCAGGTGGATTTCTTGAGGCCAGGAGTTTGAGACTACCCTGGCCAATATAGCGAAATCCCATCTCTACTAAAAAATACAAAAAAAACTAGCCAGGTGTGGTGGCACGCCCTATAGTCCCAGCTACTTGGGAAGCTGAGGCAGGAGAATCACCTGAACCTGGGAGGTGGAGGTTGCAGTGAGCCAAGATAATGCTACTGCACTCCAGCCTGGGCAACAGAGCAAGATTCTATTTTTTTATTTTTTAAATTTTATTTATTTATTTATTTTTGTGATGGAGTGTTGCTTTGTCACCCAGGCTGGAGTGCAGTGGCACAATCTTGGCTCACTGCAACCTCTGCCTCCTGGGTTCAAGCAATTCTCCTGCCTCAGCCTCCTAAGTAGCTGGGATTATAGGCACACACCACCATGCCTGGGTACTTTTTGTATTTTTAGTTGAGACGAGGTTTCTCCATGTTGGCCAGGCTGGTCTTGAACTCCTGACTTCAAGTGATCCGCCCGCCTCGGCCTCCCAAAGTGCTGGGATTACAGGCGTGAGCCACTGTGCCCTGCCAAGACTCTGTCTCTAAACAAAGGAAAACACACAACACAACACAACAATAACAACCCAACCCAGACCAAACCAAAAAAACAAAAACTTCCACCTAAATCTTAAAAAAAAAAAAAAAAAAAAAAAAGACATAGAGACAGTGGAGAGGCCAAGTCTGGTGGTGGTGGCCATAGAAGCAGCAATATCCTGTCTCTGGGGCAGCCCAGGCAGTAGGGCCAGTGACTGTTCCTAGCATCCAGATGTGGAGCTTTAGCAGAATCAGAGAGGCAAGTGGAAGGGTCTGGTACTCTGCACTGGGGACAGCAGGGTCCTCACGGGCCCTGTGTTTCTGCCATTGCGGTGTCCAGGTCTGGTTCTTCAGCCTTCCCAGCAATGCCAAAAACTCTCTGGTATCTTTTCTATGGATTCCTCTCCTGCTTAAATCTACCACAGTCAGTTTCTGTTGCTTGCATTATGAATCCCAACTGGTGGTTTGCCTGCAACCCGAATGTGGATTGCAACTAGGCTTCACAGGGAAATAGAAAACTGGGGCCAATGCAGCTACTCACTCTGCCTCCCACTTTGGTGCCTTAATTTCTCTCTACCTATCTATCTCTTTCTCTGTCTCTCTCAATACAACTCCCACATTCTTCTTTCCAGCTGTGGTTTTGTCTTAATTCATGGAAAGACATTATAGCTTATTGTTTAGGAAGCACCCACTTGGAGGTCAGAATGCCTAGATTCAAATCTCAGATGTGCAGTTCACCAACCACAAGGTTTTGGTCAAGTTACTGATCCCCTTTGGGCTCCGTTTCCTCATCTGTACAATGAGGACAGTAGTAGGGTTTTTCTGTTTTGAGGATGAAATCACACAACATGTGTAAAGCCCTCACCAAACTACTTAGGGAACCATCAGTGATTGTTGCTATTGTTATCTTCATTATCAGCGTTATTATCAGCATGGTTTGGGGACTTATAGAGACTACGTAGAGCAGGCATCTTAAACTTTAAATGCTTACAGGAGCCAACAGGGATGATGAAAAGGAGCCATGTATATGAACACAGGCACACACATTTTCCATAGTCCCAAGGGAAGCTCTCCCAAGGGACTATGGAAAGTGTGTGAGTATGTGCCTGTCTAGAGGGAGCAGCCACTTGCCAGCAACAGCCATTTATTGCCGTGTGGAATATGAGCCCAGTGATGCCAGATTTTCCACTATTTCAAGAGAGGTCAGATATCCAGCTATCTGGGGGAAGCTTGATGTTTTTCAAAAATCTAAAAAAGCACTATCCTGGCCAAAGGAAAGCTCCCTGGGGCCACAGCAGGCTGCAAACACTAATTTCTATGTTCTAATGCAAATTTCTGGATTGAGTTGAAATTGTCAGGGAGGGAAAGTGGTTAGGTCAGGTTAATTTCATTGGCTCAATCAGGTATGGCCATGGTCCACCACTCACCCAGTGGGGAATGTGGTGGACACTCTCTGACAATGGGGTGTGGGCAGGAATGTAGTGACAGGCATACTTTAGAGAAGGAGGCAAGGACCAAAGGGGTGCCCCGAGAGTTGCTTTCCTATGAATGCCAGCGCACTGAAAACAAATGCATCAGGAATGCAGTAAGTCCCAATAACTGCAAGGTTAAGATAGGGGCTTGTTTATCTTGTTATTTATTTAAATAACAATGTGTCTGGTGGTAGGGCATAACAG